TCCCTCTGCCTAGGTCTCTGCCTCTCTCTCTCCCTATGTGACTATCATAAATAAAAATTAAAAAAAAAAAAATAAACAATCTGATTATAAAATCTGTGCTACTAATAATACTCTATGCCATCTTTCCATATATAGCACTGGTCACCTTCCGTGATATTACATAACTTTTTTGTTTACTGTGGGTCTCTACCTGCCACCTCCACCCCATCTAAATGCCGGCTCCAGAAAAACAGGTTTTGTGTTTTTCTTTTTAAATCTGTTTTGTTTACTGCTATATTCCTAGCACCTAGAACAGCAGTCAGTATATTCAAGCAGTATTTGTTGAAGAAAAGAGATCCTTAAAAAGAATAATGTGTACTGTTTTAAAGTTGTAACGGTGTTTTAAAGTATCGGTTAAATAGATAACTTTCTGGGAGAAAATATCTAATGGCTATAAAAAGGAAATCAGAAAAACCCAATCATAGGGTACGAAATAGAGGGAAATGATCAGAATTATCTCTTCCCACTCCTCACAAGAAAGGCTAGCCCTTTGGGGTTTACCAGTAAATACTTTTAAACTTTTAGAATAAAATACACAAGTCCAAGGCAATGATGATGAGAACTATCCATTCAATAGATCAGTTAGGTCACAAGATCCTTATATAGCCTTAAGCATGTTCTTGGTCTTTCCTGTGCCTCTTTTTCTTTCTCTGTAAAATAGATTTTATGGTATTGTTAAGATTACAAGTTAGGGGGGCAGCCTGGATGGCTCAGCGGTTTAGTGCCACCTTCAGCCCAGGGTGTGGTCCTGGAGACTGGTGATCGAGTCTCATGTCAGATTCCCTGAATAGAGCCTGCTTCTCCCTCTGCGTGTGTCTGTGCCTCTCTCTCTCTGCGTCTCTCATGAATAAATAAGTAAAATCTTTTAAAAAAGAATTGTAAGTTAGGATCTGGGAAGCCTAGGATAATCCCTGAAAAGTAGCATTAGCACTCAGTAAATGATAGAAATTATTATGATAATGACTGTTTCAAGACACAAATAGCACACGAAAGAAAACCCTCCCCCAGATTAGTTTATCAATTATAGATTGGAAAAAAATAAAATACTAGCAGATAGACTAGCAAATAGATTAATAGGATAATCTAACAAAATTTATCTGAATTGTACATGAATTTTGTGAAAAATCAATCAATATTGTATACTATGCCAATAGGATAAATAAGAAAAATCACATGCTTAACTCAGAGGTCATTTTGTAAAATCTAATAAAATTTAGTACCCATTCTTCTTCATTTTTAATTTATTTACGGATGCCTAGATGGTTCAGTTTGTTGTGTGTCTGCCTTTGACTCAGGGCATGATCCTGGGGTCCTGGGATCAAGCCCCACATGAGGCTCCCTACTCAGTGGGAGGCCTGCTTCTCCCTCTCCCTATGCAGCTCCCCTTCTGCTTATGCTTTCTCTCTCTCAAGTAAATTTATTTATTTATTTATTTATTTATTTATTTATTTATTTATTTATTTATTTATTTAAGAGCAAGGGGGGAGGAGAGAAGGAAAGAATCCTCAAGCAGACTCCCCACTGAGTATTTGCAGAACCCTACTCAGGGCTTGATCCTAGAACCCTGAGATCATGACCTGAGCCAAAATCAAGAGTTGGATGCTGGGCAGCCCAGGTGGCTCAGCAGTTTAGCACCACCTTCAGTCCAGGGCCTGATCCTGGAGACCTGGGATCGAGTCCCACATCAGGCTCCCTGCATGGAGCCTGCTTCTCCCTCTGTCTGTGTCTCTGCCTCTCTCTCTCTCTCTCTCCCTCTCTCTGTCTCTCTCTCTGTCTCTGTGTGTGTGTCTCATGAATAAATAAATAAAATCTTAATAAACAAAAAAGAGCTGGATGCTTAACCAACTAAGTAAGCCACCCAGGCGCCGCAAGTACACATTCTTTTTTTTTTTAATTTATGTATTTATTTTACAGAGAGAGAGTTATGGGGAGAGGGTCAGAGGGAGAGGGAGAGAGAAACCCAAACAGGCTCGGCTCCATGCTGAGCACATACTGACATGCCATTCTCCGAGAAGGAAAGCAAGTGCCCAGCATAAACCATATTGTTTACACAGTCCAGGTCAAGTGAGCTACTCTTACCAGTTCTGCTAATGGTGGGAACCCTCCCCAAATCTAAGTCCCTAGAAGCCAGCCTACAGCCCAACCTTGTAAGCCGGCCTTTCAAAAATATTGCAGTCAGGCTTGTTAGGCTAACTCGCACTTTAAAAAAAAAGAAGAAGAGAAACGTTGGTCAACAACGGAAGCAAAGAAAAAGGAGACCCTGGGACATAAATAATAGCCATCTGCATTTTAACGTTATCCAAAAGCAAGAGCATCATGGCCAAAGATCCAGAAGGCCATCTCTGCAGTGTAGATAAATGGCTCAAGCTGCCTTATCTAAAGAATGCTTCTTAATATCATTCAACTTCCTCTCCTTGCTTTGATTGCAAGAAATTGCTAATTTACTTTATTTGATTTTTTAATATTAATATTATATTCACAAAGTCAAAAAATCAGAACTTTGAAAAAGGCTTATATGATATCTCTTTATCCCTCCTAGTCTCAATTCACTCAGTTATTCTCTCTTTATGGGTAATCACTTTTGTCTGTTTCTTGTTTATCCTTCTAGAAATTTTTTTAAATGTATATATAAACCAAAATAAATACATAGTTTTAATCTTCTTAGCTATATAAATGGTAATAACATGCTTTATACACAACTGTTCTGTAGCTCACTTTGTTTTTACTTAATGAGAAATATTGGAGGGGTGCCTGGGTGGCTCAGTCAGTTAAACGGCCAGCTCTTGATTTTGCCTTGGGTCATGATCTCAGGGTCATGAGACTGAGCCCCTTGTCACTTTCGTGCTCTCTTTCTCTCTCTCTCTCTCTCTCTCTCTCTCAAAATAAAAGTTGGAGATCTTTCCATATCCTTTCATAAAGAACGTCTTGGTTCTTTTTTTTTTATATATAGCTGCATAGTATCCCATTGTATGGTTGTGCCAGAATTTATTTTACCATTTTACCAATCCCTTGTTGCTGGTCATTTGCTTGTTTCTAGTCTTTACTGACAGTGCTGCAAGGAGTAACTTAGGGCTTAATGTTATTCACAGGTTTGAGAATATATTGGTAGCATAAATTTTTAGTTGTAGAATTCCTGTGTTAATGGAATATGCATTTGCATTTAATAAATACTGCCAAATTATCTTCTAAAGAATTTGTTCCTATTTATACTCCTATCATCTACATGTGAGTATTTGTTTCTCCATATTCTTGTCAATAATGTATATTCCCAAATTTATGGAAATTTTGCTAAACTGGCAGGCTAAAAAGTGATATTGTAGTGTAGTTTTGATTTTATTTCTCTTATTATCAATAAGGTTGATCTTCTTTTGATGTATTTGAGCCAGTTGTATTCCCTTTTCTGTGGATTCCTGTTATCTTCTGCCCATTTTTCTATTGGATGAGTAGTCTTTTTCTTATGGATTAGGAGAAGCTCTTTCTATAATAAGGATATTAATCTTTGTAGTGTGCCTTGCAGATATTTTCCCCAGTTCATTTCACTTTTGGTTTAGTTTATGCTGTATTTTACAATGCACAAGACTTTGATTTTGTAACTGGGCTTATTAATCTTCTTTTTTAAAATTTATTTATTTTTAGCAATCTCTATACCCAAACATTGGGCTTGAATTTATGACCCCAAGATCAAGTGTTGCTTGCTCTTCCAGCTGAGCCAGCCAGGCACCCCTGGGTTTATTAATCTTAATCATAATAGTTAGGAAGATCTTCTAAGTTATAAAACAAAGAACCCTTATTTTCTTTCAGCACTTTTATAGTTTAAATTTTTTTACATTTAAAGCTTTGATATATTTGGAATTATCAAGTGTGTGGTGCAAAGTATGGAGCCAACTTGTTTCTAGATGGCTATCTAGTTTTTTCCCAATGGAAAAAAATTTTTCCTACTTTTTAAAAAATTTTATTCATTTATTTTAAGAATGTGTGACTTGAACTCAAGACCCTGAGATCAAGAGTTGCATGCATTTCCAACTAAGTCAGCCACTCACTCCAAATTTTCCTGCTTCCTAATTTGAACTATCATCTTTATTATTTACATTCAAGTCCTATGTGTTTTGAGGTTTAATTTTGGACTCTCTGATCTCTTCCATTGGTCTTCTGCCTATTCTTAATGCCAGTGCCACATATTTTTAGTTACTGAGGCTTTAAAGTATGTTTCAGCGTCTCGTGAATCTAGTTCCCTCTCTTTGTTCTTCTTTTTCAGAGTTTTCCTGGCTAATCTACTTTTTCCATATGAACTTTAGAATTATTTTTTTCAGTTGCAGGAAAAAATATCTGTGGCCATTTTTATTGAGGTTGGTTCAAATTTTAATAAATTAGTGTAATGATATCTTTAGAATAGATTTCTCTATAAGAACATATTGTGTCTTTACATCCTTTAGAGAAAGGAAATCCTTAATCAGACAAAGAGTGTTTGAGTGTCAGATTTAATTCTCACTATAAATTAACATTGACATTATGGTTTTATACATCATTCTGTGTGAGCAGTTAATTTGATTCACAGTGAGAAATGGTTGCAATCTTCTCTGATTACTCCCCAATAAGTCAGGACTTAGAGCCTGTGGGGCTGAGAGCCAGATTCTAGACCTTGGAAAATCCAAGTAAATATTAGTGTATATTGCCCAATAAGATGGCCTCTTGGCAGATAGCCAGATGACCTCTCCCTGTAACATTGCGACTATATATATGCCTTTATTTTAAAATCAATAGTTTACTTTTCATGAACTTCACCATGTTAATAAAGTTTATTATGCATGGTAATTATACATGGATGGCAGTCTCTTCACCTGTTACTGATATTTCTGCATCTGCTTATGAGTAAAAGGCCCTATATACACTAATGACATGCTTTGGAAAATTACTATCTTTGATCAAATCTAATGAAAGTTTTAAATTCTTATATGTTACAGAATTTCACAAACTTATTTGGACAGCCACTAGTCTGCTTGCTTTCTCCTACAGCATATCCAAAAGCTTTACAAGGTATGTTGTCATTACCTGTTATATCCACAGGTTGCAAGTAAACACTGTTTACATTTTAAATAATACTGATCTTTGTCTCCCCACCTATAATGATCACATGTGGATTTATAGTGTTTAATGTGGCAGGTGTCAATCTGAAATAAACCGAGAAGTCTTGCAACAACTAGATTTCTTTAATGTGCTACCATTAGGTCTTGAGATAATTCTAAAAGAAATGATAAATCATCCCTGAGGAAAAAGGTATTTTTTGGTCTCTTACAGTTGGGGAACTCATGATTTGTGAATTTTAAAATTTGTTTTGCAGGTGTTTTGTTTTTGTTTTTGTTTTGGTGTGCTTGTTGTCATTCAGATAGCATGATTTCCTGTATCTCTGGCTACATATTTTAGGCATCTTTTAAGACTCTGGTCTAGAAAACTTCTCAGCCTATGCCTAAGTATTAGGATAACCTTACTGGCACAACTTAAAGGGTTTCTTTTATTCATATTTTTACCTTGTTGTAGTTTTTAAATAAAAGAACCTCTCTCCAGTGTGCCAGGGAGACAGTGTGTCAGTGTTACGGCTGTTTCTCAGATGGCTGAGAAATGAAAGACTGCCTTTAATAATATGTCATTGATAAGCAACATGTAAAATCGAACTCTAACTCCCAGTGATTAAGCTAGGTAAAAACTAAACAAACCTTAACACTGTCTTAGCAGTACTTGTCACTGTTTCACTATCTCCCTGACTGTGAATAGTGCTGGTGTCTCTCTGTGGGAGATGGCATTTTACTGCTACTTCCCAGCCAGAAGTCCTGTCTGCTGACATAGTTTGACACAGGAAGTGATGGTCAGCATTTGAAAGCCTGAGAGAAGCTGGAGACTTTTCACCGTTGTTTTAAGGTAAGTTTTGCTACTTAACAGGGAAAAACATGTAGAAATATTAAGTTCATGTATCCAAAAGTCAAATTACTAAGGGATAGAACTTACCTTCAAACAACGGTAAAATTCTCCTGCTTTGAGGACTTTGTTAACCTGTTTTCTGTCATTTCTGGAGAAATTAACCCCTGCCAAAGACTGAAGAATACTTTCTGCTGTCAATTTGTCTTATCAAGATGCAGCTTTATTTAAAATTGCATGATCTAATGGGTTCATACCAACATAATTTGTTCCAAAAGGCTTTATTGCATAGAGGGTTAAAAACACAGACTCTGAAGGCAAACTGATTGAGTTAGAATCCTGACTCAACCACTGACTAGCTGTGTGACCTTGGAAAATTACGTAGCCATTCTGTGCCTCAGTTTCTTTCCTATCCAATGGAGAAAATAATAGTACCTCGTTAAATAATTCTGGGTGTATAGTAAGTATTCAGTATGTGCTATCATTTTTTTTTAATTTTTTTTATTTACGATAGTCATACAGAGAGAGAGAGAGGCAGAGACACAGGCAGAGGGAGAAGCAGGCTCCATGCACCGGGAGCCTGACGTGGGATTCGATCCCGGGTCTCCAGGATCACGCCCAGGGCCAAAGGCAGGCGCCAAATCACTGCGCCACCCAGGGATCCTGTTATCATTTTTTTTAATGGTCATTATTATTAATGCTGGTTATTGTAATATGTGTCCTTAATGTTTTTTAGTCCAGTATCATATCTCTTTGCTAGAAATCTTAGACCTCTAATCCCTTAAATGTGGCCCATGTGGGCACAAAACTAGCAGATATCCAAGTATTTGAGGGAGGCCTAATTAGGTTCCTGCACCTCTGGTATCTAAAGTCTCCAGTTCTCCCTTGAACCACAAGTTACATCATCTATACAACAAACATTTATGCAGCATTTACTTATCAGATACTGTGCTGGGCACTGGAGATAACACTGAACAAATACAGCATGTTCCTCACAGAGCCACATGTCTAGCTGAAGAGATAGACAACCTAGGAGGCATTTCTTGTGGGTGCTATTAGTGTTTCATAGGAGGAGGCACAAGCAGCCCATGAGAGGACCTCCTAAGCAGCCCTTGCGGGTGAAGAAAATGGATAAAAAGATGTCAAAATAAAGTTGAAAGATATATAGAATTATATGGAGCTGGGACATGGTTAACAAGCATGTTCTAGCAGAGTAATAGCATGTGAGCCCAGATATAACAGCTCTGTGATGAGAGAGTATATGGAACATTTTTTTATGATTTCTTTTTAAGTAATCTTTATCCAGCATGGGTCTCAGACTCGCAACCCCAAGATTAAGAGTCACATGCTTTACCCACTGGGCCAGCCAAGTGCCCCAGTTTATGAAATATTTAGAGAAGTTAAAGTATTTCCTGCTAGTGAAAGGATAGGGTGTGGGATTGTGTGACTGAATCATGAAAAACCTTTTAGGATTTGTGAAGAGAGTTCAATGGAGGATAGTGGGGTGCCATCAAAAGATTGTGAACAGAAGAGCATTCATTAACCTTGTGGAGAATGACGTGAAGAGAAGCACTGATGGAAATAGGGAGATGGCAGCAGTGACCAGAGCTAGGTCACCTGTGGTGGCTTCAAAAGATAGTAAGCCCAGAGAGCCAACAGGATTTGGTGATGGATTGTATATGAAGGAATAAGGGAGAGGAAGGAGGCAGGGGTGAACTTCCAGATTTCTGGCTAAGATGCTGGTAGAAATGTTGGTACTGGATAAGCACATTTGTAGAGAGCAAAAGGGGGAAGAATTTGCTTTCAATTTCTGACATGTTGGGTTTTAGGTACCTTTGAAACTTAGATTGAGTATTGTAGTCTAGAGCAATTCTGTTCAATAGAAAGGTAATATAAGTCACAGGTCATTTTAAATTTTCTAGTTGTCATATTAAAAAAGTTTAACAGGTGAGGCACTTGGGTGGCTCAGTGGTTGAGAATCTGTCTTCGGCTCAGGTCATGATCCCAGGGTCCTGGGATTGAGTTGCGCATCAGGCTCCAAACAGGGAGCCTGCTTCTCCCTCTGCCTATGTGCCTCTGTGTGTGTGTGTCTCTCATGAATAAATAAATAAAATATTTTTTACAAAAAAGTTTAACAGGTGAAGTTAATATATCTTTTTGTCTTGAGGCTTTGAAATCCCACATGTATTTTATATTTCACAGTGCACCTCAGTTTGGACCAATCACTTTTTTCTTTAAGATTTAATTTAATTTATTTATTTTTAATTTTTTTTTAAAGATTTTATTTATTTATTCATGAGAGACAGAGAGAGAGAGGCAGAAACACAGGCAGAGGGAGAAGCAGGCTCCATGCAGGGAGTCTGATGCAGGACTCGATCCTGGGACTCCAGGACCACGCCCCAGGCCGAAGGCAGGTGCTAAACCACTGAGCCACCCAAAAATCCCCAAGATTTTATTATTTGACACACAGAGAGAGCACAAGCAGGGGGAGCAGCAGGAAGAGGGAGAGAGAGAAGCGGGCTTCCCATTGAGCCAGCAGCCCTGATGCGGGGATCCATCCCAGGACCCTGGGATCATGACCTAAGCTAAAGGTAGACACTTAACTGACTGAACCACTGAGGCGCCCCTGGATCAGTTACATTTAAGTGTCCAGTAGCTACAGTAAGGCAGTGCAGTTCTATACGTCAGTCTAGGCTGCAGATAAGAGAACTGGGACTCAGTAGGCATATAAGTGATACTGAAATTATGGGAGTAGGTGAGATCAGCAAAAAGTTTACTAAGCTCTGTCTTAAGTTTGTTCAAGAAAGCAGTGTACCTGGGATGTTTTTTGTAGTTCCATGCAGAATCTACTTTATTGGCTTATGGTTTAATGATATAGCTTTAATTTTATACATTTTTATTTTTAAAAAATATTCCTCAAATGCATCTCTTATCTTTTGCAAAACTGTTGTCTATATATATAACATGTTTGTTATTACAGATCAATCTCAACGAGGTAGCCTCTTCACTCTCTTTTTGAACAATCCTCTAATGGCCTTCCTATTTGTCTCTGGATTGTCAAGCATGCGCAGAGGTCTTTGGGAAAAGTGTCAAGAATATCTTCGAAAAATCAACCGTGATATTGCCCAGCTACTGACCCATTCACGTTCAATAGGTACCCTACTAATCTAACTGCACACTTAACATAAGATGATGGTTTTATATTGTTGAAATTGTTTGAATTTTTAAAGGTATTTGTTGAAGGCAGGAAACTTGAGAAGGTTCTCCTGAACTTTCTTCCCTTTTGAAATGTGTTTTTCTGTTAAGCATCTTTTTACTGTCATCTTTCTCCTCTTTACAGATCAAGCATTTCTCCAGTTTTTTGGAGATGAGTTTCTTCGCTTGCTTCTTACAAGATTTATCTTTTGTTCAGCCACCATGAGGATGCACAAGATTTTTCGGGTAGGCAAAGAATATTAAAGACCAATTTAAAAAAAAAAAAAGACCAATTTTACCATTATAGGTATTTAGGAGTCATGTATTATACTTTATTAAATATACCATATTAAATAAAATTTGGATAGATCCAATACAGTGTTTACAAATGATTATGTAATGTATAAAGATAACCCATACAAGGCATATCTGAATACTTAACACCCAATTTAAGAAGTAGAACATTTTTGGGCAGCCCTGGTGGCTCAGTGGTTTAGCGCCGCCTTCAGCCCAGGGCCTGATCCTGGGGATCCAGGATCGAGTCCCACGTCAGGTTCCCTGCATGGAGCCTGCTTCTCCATCTGCCTGTGTCTCTGCCTCTCTCTCTATGTGTGTGTCTCTCATGAATAAATAAAATCTTAAAAAAAAAAAAAAGAAGTAGAACATTTTCATTACCTTTTAGGCCCTCACAGATCCTGTCTTTCAAATGAAACTAAAATTCTGAATTTTATAATTATCATTCATTTTCTTTATAGCTTTGCCACATGTATTTGTATTCTTACACAACATGTTGATGGATCTATATTATATGTATTCTTCTATGGCCTGCTTTTTTTTTTTCCACCTACAATTATATTCCTGAGATTGAGCCAAGTTGATGACAACTGTAGCTTTTATCCATTTGTTTTCACTGAACTCTAGGATTCCATTGTTTGGGGTGCCTGGGTGGCTCAGGCAGTTAAGCATCTACCTTTGGCTCAGGTCAAGATCTCAGGGTCCTGGGATGGAGCCCAGCATCAGGCTCCCTGCTCAGTGGGGAGCCTACTTCTTCCTCTGCCCCTCTCCCTGCTCCTGCTCTCTTTCTCTCTCAAATAAATAAAATCTTTAAAAAAAAAAAAGTTTCCATTGTTTGACTATTTATGAAAAATTTCTTATTCATTCTACTGATAATGGAAATTTCAATTTTCAGTTTTTTATTATTATAAACAATATAACTGTGATATCTTCTATCAGTTACGTGGTACACATGTATAAAATTTTTTATGGGGAATAGATGTAAAAATGGAATGTGAGGTCAGATTATCAAAGCATCTTCAACTTTCCTAGGTTTTACAAAGTGGTTATATTAATCTACACTCACTAGTGGTGTGTAAGAGTTACTCTTGCTCTAATCCTCACCAGCACTTGTTGCAGTCTTACTTTATATCGTGTGACTCTAATGTGTATACAGTGATGTCCATTGTGGTTTTGATTTTTATTTCTGGGATTGCTTTTAGATTGAGCAACTTTTCATGTCTTATTCTATGCTTCTGTTTGTGAAGAGTGTGTTCAAATCTTTTGTCCATTCTGCTCTTAAGTGGTTTGTTTTTTTCTGTGAATTCATATAACCACATAACACTGTTTACTGAGGTCTTAAAAATTTTAGACATTATATTTTTCATTTCTGTAAGTAACATTTGGTTCTTTTTCGAATATGCCTGAACATTTTTTTAAAAGATTTCATTTATTTATTTGAGGGCAGGGGGAGCAGAAAGGAAGGGGAAAGGGAAAGAATCTCCAGCAGATGGTGCCCTGAGCATGACCCAGAGGTCATGACCTGAGCTGAAACCAAGAGTCAGTTGCTTAACCAAATGAGCTACCCAGGCACCCCTATGCCTGCACATTTATAAGTCTCTTGCAACTTTTAGTTTAAAAATATAATATTTTTTCCATTTTATTATGGCAATTTTAAATATTAAAAAATTGAACAGTGAATATCCATATATACTCAAGCTAGATTCTGCAGCTAACATTTTGATTTATTTGCTTTGGTATATTTGTCCATATCCATTTCCTCTTTCCATTCATCAGTTTATCTCATTTTTGTGATGCATTTTGAAATAAATGATGGGCATCAATAGACTTTACCCCTCAAACTTCATCATGCATATAAATAATGCGCATACACAGTTCTTTTTTTATTTTTTTATTATTTTTTTATTTTTTTAAAGATTTATTTATTTATGATAGACATAGAGAGAGGAGAGAGAGAGAGAGAGAGAGAGAGGCAGAGACACAGGAGGAGGGAGAAGTAGGCTTCATGCCGGGAGCCCGACGCGGGACTCCAGGATCGTGCCCTGGGCCAAAGGCAGGCGCCAAACCGCTGAGCCACCCAGGGATCCCCCACACTTCTTTTTTTTAATGTAAAGTTCATATGCAGTGAAGTGCACAAAACTAACATGTGCCATTAGGTGAGTTTTGACAAATACATTCACATGTGAACTCAAAGCAATCAAGTTTTACAACATAACATCATTCCAGAAAATCCTCTCTACACCCTTTCCCAGTTAGTCCACTGCCCATTACCCCAGAGGCAATGCTATTTTTATTTTTTTCACTATAGCTTGATTTCACCTATTTATGAAGTAGCTCATTCCTCTTTATTACTAAATAGTAGTCCATTGTCTGAATATACCAGAGTTTATTTAGGCTTTCTCCTTTCGATGAACACCTGGACAGTTTTAACTTTTTGACTACTATAAATAAAGTGGCTGCGAACATTCTTGTACAAGTCTGCTCAGACATATGTTTTTGTATTTTCTTGGTCATAGGGTAGGTATGTGTTTAGTTTTATTTGAAGCTTCCAGACTTTTTCTCAGAGTCAGAGTATTTGTACCATTTTATGTTTCCAGCAACAGTGTATAAAAGTTTTTCTATATCCTTGCCAACATTTGATGTTGTCAGTCTTAAATTTCAACCATTTTTGTGAATTATTTTTTAAAGATTTTATGTATTTCAGGGCAGCCTAGGTGGCTCAGCAGTTTAGTGCCGCCTTCAGCCCAGGGTGTGATCCTGGAGACCCAGGATCAAGTCCCACGTCAGGCTCCCTGCATGGAGCCTGCTTCTCCCTCTGCCTGTGTCTCTGGCTCTCTCTCTGTGTCTCTTATGAATAAACAAACAAACAAATAAATAAATAGGGCAGCCCGGGTGGCTTAGCAGTTTAGTGCCACCTTCAGTCCAGGGCATGATCCTGGGCTCCCTGCATGGAGCCTGTTTCTCCCTCTGCCTGTGTGTCTGCCTCTTTCTCTCTGTCTCTCATGAGTAAATAAATAAAATCTTAAAAAAAAATTAAATAAGTAAATAAATATCTTTAAAAAAAAGATTTTATGTATTTCAGAGAGCACGCATGAGAAGGGGGAGGGATAGAGGGAGAAGCAGGCTCCCCACTGAGCAGGGAACCCAACATGGGGCTCAGTCCCATGACTCTGGGATCATGACCCGACCCAAGCCAACCTGAAGGCAGATGCCCAACTGACTGAGCTACCCAGGTACCTCGTTTTTGTGAACTTACAGTGGTATCTCATTGTAGTACAATGTGTATTTCAGTGAATAATGTGGACATCTTTTCATGTGCTTATCAGCTATATTTTATTGGATTCTATGGCTTGCCTTTTTCTTGAACAGTAGCTTTTAAATTTTTGATGATGTTTTGGGATGCCTGGGTGACTCAGCAGTTGAACCTCTGCCTTTGGCTCAGGGCATAATCCCAGAGTCTCAGGATTGAATCCAGCGTCAGGCTTCCTGCACGGAGCCTGCTTCTTGCTTCTCCCTTTGCCTATCTACCTCTCTCTATTTCTCTTGTGAATAAATAAATAAAATCTTTCTTAAAAAATTATTTTTGATGAAGTTTCAGCTAACTAGTTTTTTTCTCTTGTGGTTTGTGTTTTATCCAAGAAATGCTCACGTATTCCAAAGTCACAAAAATTTTTTTCAAGTTTTCTTCTAAGAGTTTTATAGCTTTAGCTTTTGTACATTCAGGTCTATGATACATTTTGAGTTATTTTTGTTTATAGTGTAAGATAAGGGTCAATAGTTTTTTCTTTCATATGGGTATGAAATTAGTATTACTGAAATGATTATCCTTTTCTCATTGAATTACTTTTGTAATGTTTTTGAAAATCTGTCAATCATATACGTATAGAGATATTTCTGGACTCTAAATTCTGTTCCAGTGTCCAGTGGCATTCTCCAATACATTGATTATTCCAATTTTACAATAAGTCTTAAAATCCTGTAGTATGAGTCCTACTAAAATTTAAGTGTTTGGGTTATTCAAGACCCTTTGCATAATTATGTAAAATGTAGGATCAGCTTCACATTTTGATTAAGATTGCATCTAATCTATGTAACCAATCTGTGGATAATTATAATAATATTGAGTCTTCCAATCAATGACTATGATGTGTATTTCCCCGTTTATTTAGGTCTTCAGTTTCTCTCAGTAATGTTGTGTGGCTCTCATCATATATGTTTTATATGTATCTTAATAAATTTATTCCACAGTATTTCAAGTTCAGAAATGCATTATAAATAGAATTGTATTTTTTATTTCATTTTCCAATCATGTGTTGCTAATACACAGAAATACTGGTGTTTTTTATTTTTATTTTTTTTATATTGATGTTTTTTAAATTGACCTTGTTTCCTTGCACTCTTGCAAGGAAATTGAAATATTAGTTCAATTTGCTTTTTTATACATTCCTTAATATTTTGTAGATATATTATCCTGTCATTTTCACACAAAAATAGTTTTACTTCTTTCTTTCCCATCTGTATGCCTTTTATTTTGGTAGAGTTTTGTTTGTTTTTTGCTTTTGTGCTTTATTTCAAAGTTAGGTCTTCTGGTAAAACATTGAATAGAAGTAGTAAGAGTAGATATCCTTGCCTTGTTCCGGATTTTCAGGGAAAATTACTTAGTGCTTTACCATAGATTAGATGTTGATTGTTGGTTTTTCATAGATCCCCTGTTTCAGGTTGATTGAGCTCCCTTCCATTCCTAATCTGCTGAGATATTTTTTGATCAGGAATAGGTATAGAAGAGTGTTGAATACTTTTTCTTCATTAATTGATCTAATACATATTCTCTTAACATGGTGAATAACATTGGTTGATTTTTCTAACACTTAAGTTCAACCTTAAATATCTCGGTTAATCGTATTTTGTGGTCGCTTATTATCCTTTTGCATTTCTGGGTTCAATTTGCTAGT